CTTTAGAGAGGGAGGTGTGGCCAGACTCTGTTGCAGCAGAGGAGGGGCCGATCCTGCACCAGGCTGTGAGCGAAGGCATCGGAGAAGAGACAAGTGACCATGGGAGGAAGCCTGGAGAATTTGCTCTGGTTCAAAAACAACTCTGCCTTTTTTGTTGTTGCTGTTTGGTTGGTTATTGTCTCTTTGGTACTGGGGATTGAACCTAGGGGCATTCAACCACTGAGCTACATCCCTAGCCCTATTTTGTATTTTATTTAGAGACAGGGTCTCACTGAGTTGCTTAGCACCTCATTGTTGCTGAGGCTCGCTTTGAACTCATGATCCTCCTGCCTCAGCCTCCCGAGCCACTGGGATTATAGGCATGGGCCACCATGCCCGGACCACCTCTGCTTTTATTGCAGCCCAAYTCCAGGATGGATTTCCCAAAGGACCACCCAGATTTGGCGAGAGCTGCTTAAAATGCAGAATGCCTTCTTTGAGAATAGGTCTTTAATTTCTACTCTAATGAGCCAGACACTGCATCCCTCTCATCCCACCCCCTCACATGCAAATCGAAATCTCCATGTGAAGTGGGGAGCGGTAGGCACGCATTAGCCCATCCGGTGTAAAGCCTCTGATTGAGACCAATTACTTAACCCAGCCCCACTTCATTTCCAGTGGAAAACCCACCACTAATGTCTGCTGGCTGCAGCCAGGGACTGATGAGGCAATCAGGAGGAAAACAGACATAATAGCCAGGTAATCTTACAAAGGTTGAGAGGAGGGTGGGGAAGGCGTTGGGCAAGAGATACCTACTAGTGTGTGCAGCCTTGCGGGGTACTTTGTTGGATGTCTTGCAGGCCTCTTCAGTAAGGGAGCAGAATGTCTTTGCCCAGCCAGCACACACACCCCTCCAACAAAACGGTATGCTCAGCCACTGTGCCAATACCAACTGTAAGCTGCTGGGAGGAACATTGTGTCTGCTATGGCCATTATGAGATTCCATGTCCAAGTTCAAATGACTCCTTTGAGTTGCTCCCCAAGTTTTAAACCTTTGAGATGCCGTGATGATAGCTGGAACCTGGGCAGAGATGGGAAAGGGGGCCTTCTACCACTTTGTTCCCAACACAAAGCTGCAATCATTCTGTCAGCTCCTGCTGATAGCATCCATCCTCCAGGGGACTGGAGTCAGTGGAAGGTGTTTGGGTGTGGACGTCCCATTCCATTTCCCTCCAGTTGACTCTTGGTCCTTCCTACCACTTCTCTTTCTCAGTACTTAAATGAAGGCTCCTAGGCATGTAAATGAAGAAATGTAGAAACAGCAAAGAGGGAGAACTGTTTCAATAAAACAGATGTAGCTGTGCCCAGCTGTGAATAGATTTCCCCCTTTAGTGTGTAATCTTATCCTGTTTGGTATTGTGTTATTTTATCCATTTTACATATGAAGAAGCTAAGGTGAGGAGACTGGTTAGTGGTATTTTCTGACTTAAAACTGTGTTCTTTTCACTCTGCCTTTTTTTTTAATTTTTATTTTGAGGCAGGATCTTGCTAAGTCTCTAAGGCTGGTCTAGAAGTTGCAATCCTCCTTCCTGAGCCTCCCAAGTCACTGGGATTACAGGCTTTTCTTGCCACAGCACCCAGCAAATTGCCTCCTTTTGCATTAGATTTGCAGAATTTAGATCTCCATGTTGACTGTGCAAGCCACAGGCCCAGCACAGGGAATGCCGCGTGGAGCTTCTGCAAGCTCTTCAGAGAGCACAGACCTGGATGTTGCCCTGCGGTGGCAGTCTGGATCAACCCAGGACATGTTCTATTCTGAGACCATAACTCACAGGCTGATTTAGATAGTGAAAAGTGCTTCCTTGAGACAGGCAATGAATTTTCAAAATGGATTGCCATTTTGCTGTCTTTTCGGCATGGTATTTCATAACTATCTATCTTTGATAGCAGAATGCTACAATTAAGGTGAAATCCACATATGCAAACCTAACAATTTTTTGTCATCTCCTATTCATCTTAGAACATTTTGGCTGAAAGCCAATGGGTGCCTCATCTTCATCCCAGCACACCCCATGTGCATGCATGCATACATACACACACACAAAACACACACACACACACTCATGAAGGTATGAAACAATCCCATTTGACTTAGCTTCTTTTTTAAAAATATTTCATTCTATAATTATCTTTCCACTTTATTTGGCTTTCTTTGTTCCTTGGAAATTATTTTCACTAAGACATAATAGAGAAGACATGGTACTAGGAGACCCATGCTTTGTCCTGATATAGTGTTTACTTAGTAAACCAAAAAAGATTTTAAGTTTTGCAGTGGGAAAGATTATAAATCCATGTCTCTGAGACTCACTAGCTGTGTGATTGTAGGCAAACTGCTTAACTATTCTGAATCTAAATATCCTTATCTTCAAAACTACATTAGTATTATTGGTTGCAAGATTTTTGTGAGGATCCAACAGACCTATAAAGTGGCAGGCACAGGACCTGCTGCTTTATACATCCTGTTCCCTTTTCTTCTCCAGTCACTGTGTCTCTGACTCTCAGGATTCCCTTCAGGATAATGATGCCTATCTCACAGCTCATTGAAGGGATTAAATGACAGAGTACACCTGAAATTATTAGGGAAGAGTAATCTATTTTTAATTGTCTCATTTGCTTATTTACTCAATCAACCAATATTTCTTAAATGACCTGAGTGATCATAAAGAAGAATTAAACACAGAATTCACCCAAAGAAAGGCTCATTCTCTGAATACCCCCAACTCCCCTAGAAAAACATAACCCTGAAGCAAAAATTAAAAGTGCTGTTGGTATGTTTATGAGATTTAAATAACAAGAAGATGGCTTGCCACTGGACCCATCTGCCAGGAATCTGTGATGGAACTGATTTGGAGAAGCTATTTGGCAGATGGGTAGGAGGTGATGGACAAGGACCATGTGGGTACAAGGTCCAGTGGGAGTAACGTGACCACAGTGACAAAGGACCAGGAAAGTAAGAGACACCTCAACCATATTGTTGGGACAATTAGAGAGTTGTAGGATGCAAAGTTGGCTGCGGACACATTTGTGGAAGTATTTGGACTTGTACTTTTATAGACAGTGGGAAGCAGGGGAGTGCGGTCAGAGCCAGCTTTCTTGAAGATGAATCCAGCAGAGAAGGAGGGGGAGGTTTGGAGAAGAAACAGAGGCCCACGAGGAGTCAGAAGAGTTTCAGATGAAGGCAGGAGGGGGAATCATCACAGGGGAATAGGAGAGGATTTCAGTGACCATGTTGGGGGACGGTAGATGTCACTGAAGGTTAAGTAGGATCCCTGAATGCCACCAAGGTCCTGGGTCAGGAGCAAAGTCACCAGAGAAATTTCAAGAAGGATCTGCTTGAGAAAGAAGATACCAGTCGCCTATATGTAAAAAGGTCAGTTCCAGAGGCGGGGGAGGCAGACCAGCCTTGGGTGGGCAGCATTCCCAGCCTAGGGTAGGAGAGCTCCTTGTGGTGGGGACTGTCCTGGGCGCTCTAGGATGTTTAGCAGTACCCCTGGCCTTGACCAACCAGAGGCCAGTAGAACAGCCCCAAGTTGTGACGATCATAAGCATCACTAGACATTGCTAAATCTCCCCCCGAGGGGCAATGTCTCCCCCAGTTGAGAACACTGTGTAGAGGAGGTCTGTGCCCCAGGATGACAGCAAAGGAAGGGAACTGAGTCCCACTCCCTGGGGGCTCTTGGGTCCTGTGTCAGAAATTTGGACCTTGAATGGGACAGGGATGTGGAACACTGGTGGAAAGAGTTGGGGTCCAGATGTACCATCCCATGCTGGTCCACGGGTGTCCAAGTGTGATATCCGCCATGAGCCCCCAGGATCTCCAAAGYACACAGAACACCAGTGGTGGCTGACATGTGGGAAAGGGACAAAGCAGTTTTCCAAATGGTTTTGAATAGGGAAGAAATGAGGCCAAGAGGACCCATGAGTCAGAGAGGTGGGAGGAGGAGACACACAGGGCAGGGGCTCAGGGTCAACATTGGCTTCTACCAAGCATTACCTAGACTTCTGAGGAAAGGGAAGCAGTGGCCCTTGGTTGCCTTTCTAAAATCTTCACATGTAAATCAGGCACGCATTTCTTAGGCACACAAGTTAGGCATCACATTCCCCCATCTTTAACAATTTCGTAACAGGCTCATCCTGCTAATGAGAGAATCTAGATCTCCCCAAGGATGTCGAGATAGCTGTACATCCTTGGGCAAGTTAATGAACTTCTCTGGGTCTCCATTTCTTCAACTGCAAAATGGAGTTTATGATTTTCATGCCATAGACTTGTTGTGAGGATTAAATAGATGAAATGCCTACCACATAGTCGATGTTTAATTGCTGTCTCTCCATCTGTCCATCTCTATTAATTTAGTTTAATTTATGTTTGGAAAAATGAGAGATCAGATGCAGGTATGGCATCATCAGTGAAGATGTGTAGCTATTATTGACATTATAATTCCAGAGGGGTCTCCTGGAGATATCTATTTCAGAAAGGTGGATCTTAATTATGTGCGTACAAAAAGTGGCAAGTCCACTGAATTACACGTATTTCTCAGGCTCCAGATGTTTAGCAATATATAGGAGAACCTCAGTGTAATTGTATTTCCTACATTTTTTCTGGTTGCTTATGTCTGAACTAATACACCAGCCTTGTTTCATTCTTGCAGAACAGATTGATCTGACCTCAGAAGTTCTAAGAACCCTTCAGAAAGGCCAGGAATTCTGCAACTCCATCTTGTTTTTTTTTTTTTTTTTTTTTTTTTGCTTCTATCTGAAAATAAAAATCTCTTTGCCAATCTTATATTGGTTAAATATCAGCTTTCCTTAACCATGTGGATATTTTTTTTTTCAAAAGGTTTAAAGGGCAGTGGCCTTTAGAGTCTGGGCCACTTTTAAGGTGTTTGGCTAATCAATAGCCTGGTTATTGGTTAATCCCATTTGAGTGGGAATTGAGGGAGTTCTGTTAGTTTTCCACATTGGATAGATGTCACAGGTCCTAGCCTGTAGACATCTTTGACTCCACCTTCCTGAACAGTTTTATTCCTTAGAGTTAATGTAAGCTGGTGGCTTCTGGATGAGATGTTTGCTATTGCTTTCCTCCTCTTGTATTTGATGACTTGGCAGCTGCGGGTAACGACACAGGAGAAGGTGAACCAGTAAGTGGGCCTGATGTCTCTGCGAAATAGGGGTCACCGGCTGGGGAACAAGACACTTTAGAGTTTGCAACAGGCTGTGTGAGGCTGGAATGTAATCTTTTTTCCTGTTATTACTAATCCAGTGCAGAAGGATGGGCCAGGACAAAGGCCCTGCACTGTAAGTCAAATCAGCCTGTGTATGAGTCGTAGCTCTCMTCCTCAGGAGCTGGGTAATCCAGAGCAAGCCACTTAATCTCTTTGATCCTCAGTCTCCCTGKCTGTAAAATGAGACTAATAATGGCTCTTCTACTTGTGTTAAAGCAGTGAAATAAATCCCTGCATTTAAAATGTACTCAGTATAGYAGGCACCTGATTAATGGTAGTTCTCTTAAGAAATGTCAGACGGTGGGCTGGGGATGTGGCTCAACGCGCTTGCCTGGCAGGCACGGGGCGCTGGGTTTGATCCTCAGCACCACGTAAAAATAAGATAAAGATGTTGGGTCCACCAAAAACTGAAAAATAAATATTAAAAAATTCTCTCTCTCTCTCTCTCTCTCTCTCTCTCTCTCTTTAAAAAAAAAAAGAAAGAAATGTCAGATGGTTAACTTCTTTATCTATAAGAAAATCATAAAAATACCTGCCTCAGTGTTGGGAAGGATAAAATTAGATAATGTATTCAATATTATTTTGGGGAATGTCAAGAGACTGTAGATTCCTCAGTTGTATCATTCTGAAAATGAGTTTACYTTTTACTGGGGGTAACCGGCAGAGGTGAGAGGTGATATTTCCATGTGCACATTAGCTGTTCTATTTCTTGGAGATTTCCAACCTGGCTTCGTGTTGTTTATATCTTAACATCAAATACTTTGCAAAGTGTACACCAGCCCTTTATTTCACCTTTGGAATAGCTTTTAAGCAGTCCCTGACACTGAACCATTGAAGATTTTTAAATAGAGCTATTTTTATTCAAATTCTTATTAAATAATTCAATTTTGAATCATTATTGCTTTTAAATGTGAGAACAAGAGGGATTTCCTTTAAGTAACAGTTCAGAAGGGGGGAAAGCGTTTTTATAAGCAGTTAATTTGTAACTTGTATTTAAAGCAAATATAATTTTGAAAAAAAAATCAGAAAATTCATCTCTAATAATTATAAGATAAAGGCAAGAGAACTGTGGAAAAGGAAATCTCTGCTGAGATACTCTTAATTATAAAAGCTTATCATTGTAATCCTTTTTGAAAATGAGCAAAGAGTCTTGATGTTTGATGAACTTATCAAACAAGACAGACCAGTGAAGAGGCAAATTTTAAGTCAAGGCAAAAGAGAACCAATTAAACACTTCACAAAGTGCTGAAGGAGGAAATCATGCAGTTTTTGTGTCTAATGCCAGTGTGTCTGATGTTGGTTTTGAAAATGRAAAACTTCCTGGTTATAGCTTTACTAGGCTCTGACTTGGGCACTGGGGACGTATCAATCTCAGGCAAGTTATGAAACTTCTCAATTTCCTCAATTGTAATATGGGATGAAAGTAAGAGCAAGAATTAAAAGCATGAAAAGTCCTTAGAACAATGCCTCCTCTTTAGGAAGCTGTTTAGAAAGTTCTTGCCAGTGGTGCTCTGTGATTGTGATTGTCATTTGTTGGTATTTCTATTCTCTTGGCTGGCTGACAATAATCAGACAGAAGAAATTTATAATATGCCAATTGGCATGGATGTTCCCGATAAGTTAGGGATTTCAAATCTATCTATTATTGATTATTTTTAGCAATAGTGCTCTCTCCCCACCGAATAAAATCTCACATGAACCCTAACATTGAAAAGAGGACAAAGATATTTACATTTTTAATGGTGCACATTTTAATAAGCTCAGGTTTAACATTTGCTTACTAGAATGWTTAAATAGAAATATAGTTTTGAGAACAATAATTTTTTGAATAAAAATAAATTCTAGGCCTCACACATGCTAGGCAAACATTCTATCATTGAACTACATCTCCAGACCTTTTTATTTTATTTAGTGAGAAAGGGTCACTAAATTGCCCAGGATAGCCTCATTGAATCCTGGACTTGTAATCCTCCTGCCTCAGTCTTTTGAGTAGCTGGGATTGCATACATGTGCTACTATATTTGGTGAGAAAAAAAAAATTTGAAAGCAATGGTGATGAAAGGAATTTATAATCATTAGCTGCAAAATCAATAGATGTCTATTATGTTTTTATGTGAATAATACCTTTTGGTATGGTGTTGCTTCAAAATTTTTAAAGTTTGAAAATTTTATAATTATTTTTTATTCTAATTCGTTACATATGACAGCATAGTGAATTACAATTAATACATTATAGAGCACAATTTTTCATSTCTCTGGTTGTACACAAAGTAGAGTCACACCATTCATGTCTTCATACATGTACTTAGGGTACTGATGTCCATTCATTCCACTGTCTTTCCTACTCCCCTGCCCCATCCCTTCCCCTTCCTCCCCTTTGCTCTATCTAGGGTTCATCTAATCCTTCCATGCTCCCCATCCAACCCCATTGTGATTAGCATACTTATATTAGAGAAAACATTCGGCATTTGTTTTTTTGGGATTGACTAACTTCACTTAGCATTATATTTTCCAACTCCACCCATTTACCTACAAATGCCATGATTTTATTTTCTTTTAATGCTGAATAGTATTCCATTGTGTATATATATACCACATTTTCTTTATCCATTCATCAACTGAAGGGCATTCAGATTGGTTCCACAGTTTAGCTATTGTGAATTGTGAATTGTGCTGCTATAAACATTGATGTGGCTGTGTCCCTATAGTATACTGTTTTCAAGTCCTTTGGGTATAGACGGAGGAGTGGGGTAGCTGGGTCAAAAGGTTAGTTCCATTCCCAGTTTTCCAAAGAATCTCCATAATGCTTTCCACATTGGCTAYACCAATTTGCAGTACCACCAGCAATATATGAGTGTGACTTTTCCCCCACAATCTCGCCAACATTTATTGTTGTTTGTATACTTAATAGCTGTCATTATGACTGGAGTGAGGTGAAATCTTAMAGTAGTTTTGATTTGCATTTCTCTAATTGCTAGAGATGTTGAACATTTTTTCATATATTTGTTGGTTGATTTATATCATCTTCTGAGAAGTGTTTGTTTAGTTCCTTGGCCCATTTATTGATTGGGTTATTTGGCTTTTGGTGTTAAGATTTTTAAGTTATTTATATATCCTAGAGATTAGTGCTCTATCTGATGTGCCTGTGGTAAAAATTTGCTCCCAAAACGTAGGCTCTCTATTTACCTCACTGATTGTTTCTTTTGCTGAGAAGAAGCTTTTTGATTTGAATCCACCCAAATTATTGATTCTTGATTTTAATTCTTGCACTTATAGAGCCTTATTAAGGAAGTTTGGACCTAATCCAATATGATGGAGATTTGGGCCTACTTTTTTCTTCTAATAGGTGCGGTGTCTCTGTTTTAATTCCTAGGTCCTTGATCCACTTTGAGTTGAATTTTGTGCATGGTGAGAGATAGGGGTTTAATTTCATTTTGTTGCATATGGATTTCCAGTTTTTCCAGCACCATTTGTTGAAGAGGGTATCTTTTCTCCAATGTATGTTTTTGGCACCTTTTAGTATGAGATAACTGTACTTATGTGGGTTTGTCTCCGTRTTCTCTATTCTGTACCACTGGTTTATAAGTGTATTTTGGTGCCAATACCATGCTGTTTTTGTTACTATTGTGCAATTCTTTTAATTTATTKAAATGTGTTTTGGGACTAAGAATGTGGTCTTAGTGATTATACCATATGCATTAAAAATATGTGTTCTCTGCTTATTCAGTGTATGTGATTCTAAATAAATTAAGTCAAATTGGTGATTAATGTTTCTCAAGTTTTCTTCTATCACTTTCTGAGGGAGGGAGGGAGGTTGCAATATGGAATTATACTTGTGGATTTATTTATTTATTTTAGTTGTATCAGTTTTTGCCTCATATATTAAAACCTACATCTTGWTAAATTAAAAGAATTTGCAAGTTTAAAAAACTTCTAAACAACACACACATTTAGGTTGTTATGTCTTTGTGATGACTTGCCCCTTTATTATTATGATTGATTGTCATTATCTCTGGAAATTGTCCTGGTTCTTCATTTCGTTTTCTTATCRATTGTGTTTTCATGGCAAATCTTCATCTAATATTTTTTTTTCACTTATATGACCATATTTAAAGTATGYTTTATATAGACATACAGAGATGAGACTTGCTTAATCTAGTCTAACAATCTCTGCTTTTTCAATTGACAGAAATTTGACCATTTACATTACATATAATTATTGACAAACTTGAGTTTGAGGCTACTATCTTACTATTTGTTTTCTATTTGTCCATCTCTTTTCTGATTCTACTTTCTCTTTTGGGGTCATCTTATAGACTTAATATTTTTTCTAATTTCTAAATGGCTTAGTTAATTAATGGTTAACCATTAACCATTCTACTTTAATTTTTATTCTACTTTTGTTTTTACTCTGAGATTTATAACTTACATCTTTAACTGATCACAGCCTAAAATCAAGTAATACTATACTACTCCTAGTATTTTTTTTTCTACCTGAAAAAATTCTTTTGACATTGACTGTAGTGCACATCTTTTGGCAACAAATTCTTTTGTTGTTCTGAAAAAGTCCTTATCTTGCCTGCATTTTGAAAGATATCCTTGCTTAGTATAAAAGTCTAAGTGAATAGTTTCCCTCCCATATCCACATTACTTTAAAGATGTCATTTCATTATCTTCGGTATTACATAATCTCAAAAGAATTCTGCTTTGTTCTTGTTTGTGTACTGTGGTTTTTCCTTCCTTTTTTTCTTTTAAGATTTTTTTCTTTATCAATTTTTAGCAGTTTCCCTTACAATGTAACTTGATATGGTTCTGGGGGTTCATAGTTTGCATTAAACTTGGAATTTTTTGCCTTATTAATTCAAATATGTTTTCTGGTCCATTTTTTTCTCATGTCTCCATCTGACAGTCCAGTT